CTCTGCGGGGACCAAGTGGTTCTCTCCTTGCAAGCTCTGCTCAGGATGATCAGGATTAAAGGCAGCCTCAGGCTCTGTCCTGAGCTGGGTCCCACTGCAGCTGATCCTTTCTCCTTCCCCCTCCTGGATCCCTTTGGGTAAAAACAGATGTTGCATTCGAGGTGAACCTGGGAGCAGCACAGTCCTTTTCACATATGTCTTGTCCCTGGACTGGACTTAAACGCTCCATGATCATCCTGGGAAAAAGGGTTCTCTTGCATGCTTCACAGGGACTTGAAGTGGGACAGTGGGCTCTTACATCTGTAGTATCTCAGGTGAAAAGGCTTGGTCCTGGGGTGAAATCTGATGTCTGCTTTTCTCCTCAGATTACATCAAGCGGCTGAGGTACTGCGAGTACCTGGGCAAGTACTTCTGCCAGTGTTGCCATGAGAATGCACAAATGGCCATCCCTAGCCGCATCCTGCGCAAGTGGGACTTCAGCAAGTACTATGTCAGCAACTTCTCCAAGGACCTGCTGGGCAAGATCTGGAGTGACCCGCTCTTCAACGTGCAGGACATCAACGCAGCGCTGTACCGCAAGGTCAAACCCCTCAACCAAGTCCGGGTATGTTCCAGGAGCCCCAGGGCTCAGCCTTCCCCTAGGGTGGGGGGAGTGGATCCGTAGATGTGAGCAGCTTTGTGGGGTGAATTATGGGGAAGAGGGATGCTGTGTGTACTGCCCTCATCATGTTGGCAAGCCCACCCTGCCACTGTCACTTAGCCCTCCCATTATGGGTATTACATCCAGATCTCTGAGCATGTTATGAAGCTGGGCAGGGAGCATCATCCCTGTTTAACAGGTAGGGAAGCAGGCACTGAGTCCATACATGACTTCCAACAGCGAGCGGCAGGAGTGGCACCCTGCTGTGCAAACCACATCCCCTATGACACCCCTGCTGTGGGTGACTGGGCCTGACACCCAGCTGCCTTTCCACTGATGAAACTTGGGTTTGTCCCTCCTTACATGGAACTGGTGATAACTCCTGAAGGAGCTTTGTGGGGAAGTGGCTGCTTCTGACACTCTGAAACAAGGAGGAAAGTGCCAGGCTGCTATTATGTACCACCTGGGGCCCAGTGCTCAGTTGTGGCATCCTGGCTGCGGGAGGCGGGAGATGGGCTCAAGCCTCTCATCCGCTGCCCAGTTAGATGCGATGGGCAGGGTGTTTTTCCTGACCTCAGCAGGGGTCTCGGTTTGTGCCCAGAAGCATGAAGCTGGCTGCTTCTATTGCTTTACTTACTGATTTAGCTGCTCAGTGCCAAGGACACCCAAGCCAATTAGACAGTGGGGAGGAGGTCGGGAGAGCGTAACCTGAAAGAGAAGGGTCTGTGCTGGCTCAGGGCTTGTGGGTCTGCTTGTCTCACAGCAGCCTTGTTCCCCATGTCCTCCAGCTCTTGAGGGTCCAGCTGTTCCATATGAAGAACATGTTCAAGACCTGCCGCCTGGCAAAGGAGTGAGTACCAGCGAATACGCTGCATCCAGCCTGGCCTGTGCCTACCCATTACATGGCTGTGTGGGTCCTTGGGTGCCTGTGTGGCACGGGGGGGGGGGCCTTTTGGCGACTGTCACCATATGCAAGGGGCACCTCAGCCCAGCCCCCTTTTCAGGGCTCCATTGCTGAGGGCCCTCATCCCTGTGCTCAGGCCCTGCAGGGCAAGAGGACAGTTGCTTTGCTGCTGCCTTTTGTGGACTTCCCTTTGTGTCCCCAAAGCAGCTGGCTCCAGCCTCCCTGGGCAGCTGCCCCAGTCCCCATAGCTTCTGTCTTAGCCCTGGTAAGGGGTGGAGCAGCCCAGATGCCATGATCTGGAGCTGTGAGGCACTGGCTGGTGCTCATCTGATAGTCTGGAGAGGGGTGAAGCAGGCAGTATT